GGGGGAGAAGGAGCAAAAGTTTAAGGGAAAAAAAAAAAAAAAAAAAAAAAAAGGAAGAGCAGAGAGGAGCGTCCACAGAGAACTCTAACAGTCTCTACGTTTGCTTGAGGCTTAGGCCCTAGGGCATATTTTCGCACTAGGGCTTTCTCGACAAAGCTGTGGACGTGATTGCAGTCAGATTCATCCAAGTCGTCTGTGCGTGATTGCAGTTAGATTCATCTAGCTCTGCCAGTGACGGGGTTTGCTGTCAGATGCATTACGAACGTGCTGTTAGATTCATCTAGCTCTGCCAGTGACGGGGTTTGCTGTCCGATGCATTACGAACGTGCTGTGTGTGTCAAATGCCCTTCCACTGCTGAGGAGCCCACCTGTGGCAATCGTGCACATTCGAACAATAAGGCAACCCCCCGCCCCCCCGCGGGGGTCAGGGCGGGGGGTGGGGGGACGCGGGGGGTAATTACTGAGGAGCCCACCCAAAGGGTGTCAAACCATAGCTTGAGGATTTTACTGCTGAGGAGCCCAGCTATGGCTGTGTGACCCTTGCCCCTCCTCGTTTTGGCATACTATACTACTCCTCACTGCCCTCAGTGTCTCATCTCTCCCCGTTCCTGTACTCCCCACCCTCCGTCCTCCTCTCCTATCCATAACTCCTTTTTCTTTTTTTTTAACAACGATCGCGATAATATTTCATAATCACTTCGTGCTTTGGCCGCACTCCTTTTTTTTTATTTTTTTTTAACAACGATCGCGATAATATCTCACAATCACTGTGTGCTTTGGCCGCACTCTAGTCTTCAAGCCTCGTATTTTCTTTCCTCCATTTCGGTTTCGAAGTTCGAACCATTTCTTTTCCCTTTTTTTCCCTTTCTTTCTCCTTCTGGAAACCAGGCAATCTTCCAAGCCTAATACTGTAGTCAATCATCGAGGAGCAGAAGATGGCAGGGGAGAAAATATAGTTCAGAGGGGTGAAAGGGGGGGGAGGAGGACAAGGAGGGGAGGGACAGGAAGAGGAGAAAGGAGGTGGTGGAGCAAGAGGAGGCGGCGGCGGAGGAGGAGGCGGCGGAGGAGGAGGACAAAACAATAAAAAACGGATTATGAGAAGCTGGAAGACGGTAAAGTAGGCAAAAAAAAAAAACAAAAAAAAAAACGAGGCTACGCGTGGAATGCCACGCAGCCCATGCTGATGTTGCTAGAGAAGGGAGTAGCGAGTGGCATTCGACGTGGGGACCAACGTTTTCCAATCACGTACTACATGCAATCGGGTACATGATGGGTACATCCAATCGGCCTGGTTCAGTGGGTAGACAGTACACTCAATGCCAGTGTAACTTTGAGATCGCTCCGAGTGGCACACGGTCGCAGATCTGATACCAAATGTTATGTAGCCGATTGGATTTTTTCCAATTTTACCCTCAATCCAGTGTAACTGGTTATGTACCCGATTGGGTGTTGTACGAACTTGTACCCAATCGGGCCCCGGTAGCTCAGTTGGTACATCCATGATCCCCCCGCGGGCCGCAATTTTGAGATACCTCCACTGAGTCACCAGGCGAATGTGGCAAACGGGCCTCGCTCAGTGGGTACACTCAATGGCAGTGTTAAACTGTTGATATACAGAGCCCAGTAAGGATCCAGATGCAATCAGTTAATCAGATAAACAGAATCAGATAATTCTGAATTGCCTGGGGCCGATGAGCTCGAAGATGGTTGAAACTTACATTCCAGAGTCCGACCCCCTCAGGGGCAGAAAGCCCGCTGACTCGGCGATGAGAATGATAATTAGAAAACACGAAAGCAGGGGACAATGTAAAAAAAAAAAAAAAAAACAAGTGGACGTGAGTGAGAATTTAGCTGGGAGAGGACCATTGTTCAGCGAGAGGGTGCTTTAAATTCACCTTTCCCTCAACGGTTCAACCGGTACTTAAAGCACCTAATGTTGCTGATTGCACTGGCAGCAGCATTCACACTCCATAATTGTCCTCTCCTTTCCTAAGTTTCCCGATCAAAAGTCGTTCACTGACAGATATAATTTAATGGATCAGCTAATTTAATGGTCCTTCGGCTGATCCATATACTGATCCATTAAATTCCATCTGAACGACTTCTCTTTTTTATCATGGCAATAACGTCCGTCGTCCTTCGGCTTCAAAGTCCCTTAAAGATACCCATTCCATTAAATCCATTCAATTCAATTCAATTCAATTCAATTCAATCGAGCCCAAAAAACCAGGTGTGAAGCCCTGAAACAAAGACACAAACAGGTGTGAAGCCCCCAGAAAACAGGTGTAAAACCCTTAAGACGACACACTACAAAAAAGGTACGAGGCAAAACAGGTGCGCAACCCCAGAAAACCGATGTGACGGCATGACGCCTTACAAAACAGGTGTAAAACCCTAGACAGACGACACCCTAGAAAACACCCTAGAAAAGAGGTGTGAAGCCCCAGAGAACAGGTGTGACGTCCTACAAAACACGTCTGAAGCCCCAGAAAACAGGTGTAAGAGTCCCTAGACTATACACCCTAGAAAACAGGTATGACGCCCTAGAAAACAGGTGTGAAGCCCCAGAAAACGAAGTAATTGCTATACTATTCTAATGATAATTATTGAAGAAAATTTTAATTGTACTCTTATAATTGTTATTCTTATAACTTGAGGTGAGAAGCTCTAGAAAGAAGACATCCTAGAAAACAGGTGTGCCGCCCTTCAAAGCAGACACCCCAGAAAACAGCTGTGAAAACGTACAAAAAAGGTATACACAGGTATACAGCCGCAGAAATCAGGTATGAAGCCCTACAAAACTAGTGCACATTACATTCCCTTCAATCCTTCCTAATGTGCAGCGTGGGGGGGGCACGACGTTCAACGGGAAAGAAACACGCTTGAATTCATTCACAGTAGGGGTAATCGCCAACATTCAATTTAAATTTGATGTTCCTGTGAAACTATCACGAAACAGTTCCAAAACTTACCCCGCAAAGCACTAGAAAACTAGTGTCCGAAGGCAGGAAAAAGGTATCAGCATGCATTCTAGTTATTTTTTGCCAGTTCTGTCTTGTCTTTTCTCGATGTTTTGGCAGCAGCAGACTGCATACATTTTCCTCTAGCCTCTTGGCCTACGTGTTTTAAGTATCAAAACTTACCCCGCAAAGCACTAAAAACTAGTGTCCGAAGGCAGGAAAAAGGCATACAGCATGCATTCTAGTTTTTTTTTGCCAGTTCTGTCTTGTCTTTTCTCGATGTTTTGGCAGCAGCAGACTGCATACATTTACCTCTAGCCTCTTGGCCTACGTGTTTTAAGTACCTTCCTAATTGTAAAAGGGCGACGCCCTGCAGGCTGGAGATATCATCATTCAACTGACCGGCACCTGTTCAACAGTTTCAACAGTTCCTTACTCCCAATTGGTCAAATTTGGTCGTGCTCAAGGGCGTCCGCTAAGCTAAGCAACACCCACGGACTAGTAGCCAGGTCCCAGAACACTTGGGCCCCGGCACTTGGGCCCAACACCTAGGCCTCAACTCAGTAACACCCAAGAGGCAGCGAGAGAAACACCATAGAATAGGGCCCCAACTTTCCCCCAGCTAAACGAACATGGAACTGTTCCTCTCAAATTGTCTCTACCGTTCACTACCTACCTACCAGTACGTTGTGAGGTGGCTATGCTCGCGGTGGTTCCCTCTATTTACCCTTAGAAAGAACACAAATACATATAAACATTCAGGGCCCAAGCTAAAAACGGAACTCGTCCTGCGCAATCTCCCTTAAATTGGAACAATACAGAGATTCTGAAGAGTAAATTAGCAAAATGGTCCCTGCACTGCACAAGGATGGTATGCATAAATCTCGCAATTAGCAAACGCCTGCTTGAGAAAAAAGGAACGTCGCAAAATGGTCCCTGCACAAGGATGGCATGCATAAATCTCGCAATCAGCAAATGCCCGCTTGAGAAAAAAGGAACGTCGTTAAAGAAAACAACACCCGTCGTTCGGGACTTCCGTCAAAAGAATTAGAACGATACAGAGAGACAAGATTAGCATGGCCCCTGCGCAAGGAATCCAAAGATGACACGCATAAATAGAGTAGAACAACAGCCACAGGGCAGCGAGAAAAAAAACACGGACATCGATGGCGACCACCAAATCGCTGCACTGTTCATTTCATAATGCATCCTTGCCATACCTATAAGAGGAGGCTGTATCCATCTGCTCGTGCTTGTCATCCACTCATGCAAATGCGACTTTACCCCACATACCGTTCTCTCTCTCTCTCTCTCTCTCTCCCTCTCTCTCTCTGTGCACTTATAAATCATATTTCCATAATCCCATTCGCTTCTTCCTTGTTCGTTGAGCAAGGACTTTTCTTTCTGCGAATACCATTTCGTTTCTGGCAATTCGTATCTGCAAACAAGTCGCACTTACAGAATCCTCACTTCATGACCGTATATTACGAAGGTTAAACGGTCAGAAATGAAGAATCAGAGTAAGTAGAACTCGTCCCTGATGGCAGAATTAAGTTCACCCTGATAACACCATCTCCAGTGTGCTTTTTCAGCTTTATAGATACGTTTGCGTGTTTATGTGTGAATGAAGTTATTTTCATTCCACTGCAGAGAAACATACAAAGGGCTGCATCAGCCTGCATGGTGGTCATGCTGCTGCTGCTCGTGCTGGTTCTTAAACGACGAAAACGATGACAAGTGCCGAGGAGAGCCGGGAGGGAAGGTAGACGCGACAAATCGTTATCATTCTGTCATGATTCTGACGACAAGGCGGACGCTCGTAGGCAGTGATGATGAGGATCACAGCATAAGCAGCAGGAAGACTGCGACGAGGAGCCGAAGGACATAGAAATGGGTTTGAGCTCGAACAGGTCAAAGAGGTTTACTGATGTATGTACGCTTAATACTTCGCGCGCGCGCGAGCGCGAGAGAGAGAGAGAGAGAGAGAGACCACGCACACTTAAATCACACAATAGAGCGGTCGAAATAAACGGCATTTCGGAATTTTCGGGGATACGATTTACGGCCCACTGAGAGAGAGAGAGAGAGAGAGAGAGAGAGGAACGCACACACAAATTGACACAATAAACCGGTCAAAATATTCGGCATCAATCTCTCGGGGATAGTAAGGATTTACGGCCAACTTCGCCCAACAGAACAGGGTAGTGAGTAATTACGGCCGATTTAGAGCAGAAGTTGCTGCAGAGCAAATCTCTGTACCCTAGAGTACTAGAATTCGATATACTTCTTTTTGTTTTTTTTTCACGCACGCACACATCACACACTCAACACAGATCAAACTGAGGATGTGAGGATTTCCGGCCGGCTTCGGCTTCCAGAGCTTGTGTCAGTGTCAGACTGTCAGTATGCGCTCACCCGTGCTGAACCCGAGAGATCACAACCAGATCACAACCATGGAGTCGTGGACAACCTTAAACTCTTACGATCTGCAATGATTCTCTTTGCAACCCTTACACGCTCGTCCGTTATTTCTTACGATCGTTTTGAAACTTCCAGATTTCCAATGCTACATACGTCTCGACTCTAGACCCCTTGAGACACGCCACGGCGGGACTCTAAAAATATCGACGTGACACTCACGTGACACTCGAAGTGTCATCAACCTTGACGTGACACTAACGTGACACAAAGTGTCATCAACCTCTTGCTCTGCAACGTTTCACCTTTAAAACTACCCTGCGACATCCCTTACCAACGTGATATACAACAATGTCACAACTTTCACCTTAAACCTTACCAACGTGAATAGACAACAATTGCCACAACATTCACCTCCTCACCTCCCACTCTCTCAGAACCATTCGTGCATAACTAGACCCGATTCAAGAACCTCTGCGACGTTACTATTACACAACCCCTGCCACGTTTCGACTCCGACTGTTCGACCCTCGATACTACCGTCTACTGCCTTCCCCCGAATACACCGCACCTTCAAAATGAACGTATACAAGGTGTGTTTCCAGCCCGATACAGTCAAAAGGGTGCGTTGTGCTCGGGGAAGGCCGGAAGGCCAGAACCTACCTAGTAAGACACGGCTACAACCCTCGGCACGTGTGTTCCACCGACCATCATATGATGTGTGCATGTCTTCACAATCTCCGTGGCCCGTGGGTCAAATCCATTTTGTTCTAACTTCTCCACGCCTTGCGCGACCAAGCCATTAGTCAACGCATCTCGTTTCACCCTCTCGATGCTCAACCCTCGATGCGTTAAAACCGGATACTCAAAACCAATTGACCGTTGGTCAACGCATCAACGCAGGACTCGACGAACCACTACAACACCTTAGATATCCCCGTCGTCGACACGTAAGCCGCTCGGCACAACGTCGGACAAATTCATTTACACGTCCGTTTTATACACAACCTACGGCCGATGCCGCTCGTCTTCTTCCCCCCGGCGTGTCGGCGTTCCCCTGTGAAGCCTCCAAGGCACACTCTGTCCACTATTCCCAGAGGATGAGTGAGCTACCGTCTTCCGCTGAACATAGTGCACTCCATTCTTGACTCGACCTAACAAGAAACATGGCTAGCATACATTCAACCTAAGCGGAAACATGGCTAGTATACACTCTATATCAGGGCGCGTTATGTTCAGGTGAAGACGGCAGTAGTCGTCATCGACTCGTCAACCTCACTTCCCATTCCATTTCCTTAACCAACCTGACGAGTGAGCCTAAGCATGCGCCTGCGGCTGTTGCTGGGACTGCTCCCTCTGCTGCGAAGTCTCGGCGTTCTTCTGTGCTATCTCAATAGATGAGTGAGCCTAAGCTTGCGCCTGCGCCTGTTGCTGGGAGTGCTCCCTCTGCTGCAAAGTCTCTGCGTTCTTCTGTGCTATCTCCATGGCCGTAGCCGCCACGCCTCCAGGTTCCACAATTCCCAGAGGATGAGCCCTCATCTCCACCTGCTGAATGCGCGCCGCATCGGCTGGCAGAATCGCCTTGTCGTTGTCAAGCCGCTCCTTCACGTCCACCAGAACCTCTCCGAGAGTACGCGGCTGGCCGCCTGCCACGTTATACCCACCGGTCTCTCCGAGGGGTTGCACTTGCGGGGAAGGCTTACCCTTCTCCCCTTCCTGCTGCTGCTGCTGCTGTTGCGCGGTTTTCGCTGCCAATCCACCATAATCCGCTCGGATGAGCCCTGAGTTCACATTGAAATTAGCGAAAGACATCGCCTGCGCCCCGATACTCCCTTTCACCGTCTGATGCCCGGTAGCTAGAGATTCCGCAAAAGCGATCGCCTCCGCGTCGCTGGGCGTGATCGGCTTGCTCACATTCTTGTCCCCTACCATCTGCAAGACATCGCCGATGGTCATAAGGCCCTCAGTCTCTCCGGGGCGTAGGCTACCCACTCCTCCAGATGCGGCGGCGCCACGTACACCAGCCATTGTCTTCCTCGTACGTCAAACGAAGACGGGCTACCTTCACAAGACAGCCGATCGATCGTCAATCTGAAGCTCACAAGATCACTCCACACTTCAGGGGTAGCGCCACTGACCGAAGCTCACCTTCGCTTTCCTCCTCTCCTTCGTCCTCCCTACCCGCCTCTCCTCCCACCTCCCTCTTTCTCTGCTCCCTAGCCTTCCCTCCCTCGCCGACCTCCTTTCTCATCTGCTCCTTCAGTGACCGTCACCCAATTGTGCGTAGTATCGTTTCGCCTTGACTCGTATTGTGCCGGCTCGTATCGTTCCGACTCCTGTCGTGCCGACTCGCATATATGCAACTCCTCTTTCTTCTCTTCCTCTTCTCTCTTTCTTCACGTAGCAATGCGTCGTACGCCTGGTCGGGCAGCAAGGTGATATATAGCCAGAACACAGCAGGTCAAGGTCCCGCGTCGGGCCGGCCGCCCCGCTTTAGCATCTTTTCCCGGGGCCAAGTCCCACTAACAGCAGCTCAACGCCCGAATCTGGACCTGTTTGCGGGGATGTGCAGAAGATCACGTCGAGTTTCGTCGCCTGAACCACAAACATGTCCAGATTCGCGCGTTGAGGAAACTCAACGGAGTCAACGCTGCTAGTGGGACTTGGCCCCCGGACCACGGGCCGCTTAGTACCCCGATTCTTTTTTCTTTTTTTCCAAACAAACAAACCGGGCATGAGGGGAGGCACGGGGGATTGGTCCGCTTTATCCCCTACCGGCCGTCCCCTGGCCGGTATCCTGCAGGCTCGAGGGGCTGTAAAAACACGGCTCTGGTATGCTACGGGTTTCCCCGTATGCCTATAGGTAGGAATAGTGGTGGGTAGGTAGTGTGAGGAAATTTTTTTTTTTTTTTTTTTGGGAAAAAGCGAGAATTCCATTAAAGACCAATAATCGAGGCCGGGGGCCATGTCCCACTTCTCAAGGTTTTGTTCTGGTTTCGAGTGTACATGGCTCCTTGCCATCCGATCTGAAAATCTCACGGCCCTTGTGTGGCCACGTTGGAAAATACACGAAACGTAAACTAAACCCCCGCTAGTGGGTCAAGGCCTCGGGAATCCTCACAAACAACCCGGACAGACTCGTAACTCGGACTGCTGGGCAAGCCCAGTAGGTAAACTGTGAGCATCAAGGCTCAACAACACAGCCAAAACTCAACCGACACAACCCTACCCCTCTATATCCAATCATGATATTTTTATATTTTTCCTCTTTTTCCAAACTTCCCCCTACCTGCCAAGAAAAGTCCTAACCCTCAAGGTGGGCACCTTCCACCCAACACCTCAAACCATCTCCACCCTACTGTCTATTCCTAAACTAACCTGAAAACCGAGCAACAGAGAAAAAAGATGTAAAAGCAAAAGAACAGAAGGCCAAACAAAACAAAAGAACAGAAGAAACTGAGAAACAAAAAAAACACAGAAGACACAAGCCAGAAAAAGCAAAAGAGAAAAAAAAAACAAAAACAGAAAGAAACAGGTACTAATTCTATTCCCACCCTACTCTCAGCCGGCCTACTGCGGCGGTTGGAACCTAACTCAGTTCCACGAACATCTGGACACTCTCAAACCCCACCTCTCTTCTGCCTCCTACTGCGGATACCAACCGAGTGCCCTGGTTTGTCTAGCTAACTAACCAATCAGAGAAGTGTAACTTCCCATCGCAACCTACAGTCACTAATCTCCCTCCCAGCGCCCAAGTTTCCCTGAACCAAGTCAGCCCTGTTCCTCTTCCCCTGCATGAGGACACTTTCCTTCTCCAGTCGGCCTGAATCATCCTCCTGATTTCCGTCTTAAAGGTAGACTTGATTTCCGGGTCCGACATGATCCTCTTCTCAAACAGGACTCTGTTTCTCTCCTTCCAGATGACCCAGAAGCCTACTGCACGGACCGCCTGCGCAACGTATCCCCAACCCTTTCCTGCCTGCAGTGCATCCGGAATTCCACCCAGGAGCACCCACTCTCTATCCCAGATTAATTCTTCCCTTGTCCAAGCCTTCCATTCTCTATTCCACCATTCCCAAATGCGTTTTGATGCTGGGCAGTCCCACCAAACTTGAGTGGTGGTCTCAAAGGACCACCTGCATCTTTTGCATTGGGCTTCCACCTTACATCCACGGCTTATTAATGACACAGCTGATGGAGTGGCGAGCAACGATTCCAGCCAGAGAAGCGACGCAGCTCTGGTGTTTGGTGCCTCTGCAATTTGTTCCCAGCATCTCTTTACCACTCCACTGATATTTTCTGCCTCTTCCGGATACACTCGTTGCCACCTCTCCGTGGCTGTCATTAGTGGAGTCCTTGCTGGCTGCTGTACTTCATAGGCTAATTTCAGGGAATAGCCGTCCAGAGGGAGCGTGTCCCCCGATGGTCCCTTGCCTCTCCAACCCCACTGGTCTGGGTCCGCTCTCATAACTGCTACAGGTTGGCCGTGGTTCCACAAGGAGACCTTCCATGTTCCTTCTTCGTCTACAGACTCTCTGACTCGTATTTCTTGTAACAGGCCTCGGGGAACAGTAACTAGACGGCCTTCTCCCTCCCGTTGTACCAGGACACCTTCCTCCCCTTGGGGATGCCATTGTTCGAACTTCCTGCCCCTTTCCTCCGAGAGCTCCACCAGCTTCAAAAAGCTTCTGTCTACAGTAGCTGGGATGAACTCGTACCATGTCCCAACAGGGTTCACCCCCGCCGGGTCCAGAATTCGAGCCCACTCCCCAGGGATCGCTTCCAGCACTTGTTTCTTCCTCTCTTTCACAAACTTTGTTGGTTTCAACTTTTCTTCGAGCTCCTCGTCTCGGTACCAAGTCTCTGTGAGATAGTTCCACAGATCCCTCAGGCGGGAGACTCCATGTTCCAGCCAGGCTTTTCCAAAGCACCCTGATGTGGAGTTTGCCAACAACATCTGGCCATGCTGATCCCTGATCATTTGGTTCTCAAAGATAATCTGCGACAGTACTTCTTCTTTTGTCCTTGGGGTGCAGCAAACATCCGGTTTAACCTTCCTCCACGCTTTTAGGACTGCTTGCCAAAATTCCGAGTTGATTCTTCTCCTGAGGTAAGAATCAATCCACACACAGGCCCAGACATCTGCGGGTCGTTTAAGGTTCCATTCCCTGCTCAAGATGCGCTCCCCCAGCAGAAGCCAATGCGGGTCCTTCTCCGTACAAATCGCACGAATCACCCATTGAGCAAGCATTGCCGTATTTCTTCTACCTGGATCTGTCAACCCCAGTCCACCTTCCACTCTAGGCACGCAGATAAGGTCCCATGCCACCTTGGACATCACACTGGAGTTCTCTTCCGCATACGGCTTCCAAACAAACCTCGCAGCCTTCTGTTTAACCACCGCCTGCGTACGTTTCCCTATTGGTCTAACATTATCTAAAAAGGTAAGAAGTGCGAACAATGCAACATTGATCACCAGTGCCCTCCCCAACAATGACAAATGGGGGGCTTTGCCCCACGTGTTCATCCTCTGAAGGACTCTACTTTGAAGGATCTCCTCTTGTTGCATAATGCATGAGGTGAGTCCCACCTGGACTCCCTGAAATCTCTCAGATTCATCTTGCTTCTTCCTTCTCATACCCCATTCTATTGCAGGTAGGGACGTTTCCGGTAGGAAATAAACAGACTTTGACCAGTTTATGGCTGTTTCTGAGAGCAATTCGTACTGGCTGAGACACTGTCTCAGAGCTGCCATCGACTCTACTGTATTCTTGGAGACCGCAAATAGATCATCTGCTAAGGCTTTCACCTTGCAGACCTGTTGACCCAGAGGTAAGCCAACAATTCCCTCATGCGCCCGGATGTTATTTAATGGGACTTCCAAGTGAACCACGAAAAGGAGTGGCGCCAACGGGCAACCCTGTCGGAGGAAGCGCGATATCTTGAATTCTGCTGAAATGTGGCCATTAACCATAACTGACGCGGTTGACAGCGAATATAGCGCAATCACCCAGGTGCAGAAAATGTCCCCGAACCCCATCCACCTTAAGGTCGTCAGCACATATGACCAGTTAACCCGGTCATAGGCCTTCTCCATGTCGAGAAGCAACACAGCTAGATCCAAATCTTCCTGGACCACCACCTGCAGTACCTCTATTGCTGTCACTATATTCTCGTAGATCGACCTCCCCTTCACAAATGCTGCCTGATCCGCTGCTACCAGCGAAGGTAGATATTTCCCTAACCTTCGCACCAGCACTTTCGCCAGGATTTTATACGAAACATTCAGCAACGAGATCGGTCTCCAATTCCGAATCTCGTTCGTATCCCCCTTCTTAAATAACAGTGAAATAATACCTTTACATGCACTAACTGGTAGTCTCCCTCCCAGTTGAATCTCATTGTAGACTGCAACTAAATCCTCTCCCAGCACTCTCCAATGTTGTCTGTAAAACTTCGTCGGCAACCCATCATTCCCTGGCGTCTTTCCGCTAGCCATTGCCTTCAAGGCCTCTTCTGCCTCAACTCCTGTGATTGGGCGGTCCAGATCCAAACGCCCTTGCATACTCAGTCTAACCCTCGTGTTGTCCCAATGAGTTGAGTTTTCTGAAAGGTTAACGTCCGGTCCCTCCTCGCTCCTTCTTGAGGTCAAAATGCCACGGTAGTAGAGTACCGCATATCTACAGAGATCCGCTGGGGCGGTTGCTGTTGGCTCCTCTTCTTCGAAGGGATGTCTCAGTTCCTTCATGGTTGGTGCCGTTCTGGCCGGGACCAGATTTTGAAAGGTTTCTCGTGTCATTCTGTCATACACCTCCAGACCTTTAACCTTCAATCTCTCAGACCATTCCTCTGACTTCTTCTGCTACACACGTCCCAATCTGCCAGTCTACGTGCCCTTTCCTTCCCCCATGTCTCTTCAGAAATTGGATGCTGCTTCATTTTCTCCTCAGCCTCCTGCACCCTTTTCCATCACCTTCTTTCTTCCTTGTTTCTTTGCAGAACCAATATTCTGGAGAAGCAGTTCATAAAATTTGATATAATATTCGTTCCCCCTTCCCACCAATCTGCCAAGGAGGGGAAGTTCGCCTTCTGCTTATCCCACCTCTTCCAAAACTCGCAGGTTCATTCATTCATCCCTTCCACTTTCAAGTTCGTTGTATTGAGCTTGAAATAGCCGCGGCCCCGAACATTGTCCCGTCCCAAGTTAAAGACCCCTAACACAGGCTTATGATCAGAGATCGGGCTGCTGGTTGCCGCTACCCTGACGAGTGCCTCTCTTAGCATTCCTTTTGTAAGAAGGTAGTCTAGCCTCCTTCCCCGCCCCCGATGAGAGAACCACGTATATCCGTGGTCCGTCGGGTTAAGGTGGCGATAGGGCATCTCTAGATCTGCCATCAGATTGCTCAGGGCCAATGAATCTTTCGGGTACCCAATCTGGTACTGGTTTGTGTCCAGGGAAGTATTCAGATCCCCCCCTAACACCACGTGGTCTACATCAGGCAAGATCAGTCTGAGTTCTTCAAAGAAGGCTATCCGCTCTTTCCTGTTTACCGGCGCATAAACTGAGACTACCGCCCATATTAGATCCCCTTGTTTAAAGATCACCCAGGCCCAACGTCCCCACAAATCCGCGAAAAAATCTACAATATTTGGACATAGGTCTCTGTGGATTAGGATTCCAATTCCCCCTTTCGTGCCTTTAGCTGCCGACCACAACTGCGGTCCATCCCACCAACTGCCGAGAGCCTGGATTTTCTCTGCTCTAAGCTTCGTCTCCTGTAAGCATGCAATCGAGATTTTATTATCATGCAGCCAGAATTTGACTCTTGAACGCTTATCCCTGCCCGAAGTGTCCCCAAAGCCTTGCAAGTTCCACGAGACTATCCGGTATCTAACCATTCCTAACATTCTTGCCCAGAGGCAATTGGATTTGGGCAGACGCTGAAGCTCCTCCTCCGCTCCAACTCTGAGTAAGAGCCGCGTGCATAAATTGGGAGTCTAACCTTTTATCCTTGGGCAGGCGGATTTTTAATTCCGCTATTGCATCTGCTGAGATCATCAGAGGAGAAATCGACAATCTTGCGAGGTCTTGCTTTTTGCATTCCACAAACATAGCCAACGGGACAAGACGAAGACCTAGTGCTTCGAGCTCCGACACTTTGCTGTCGGTCAGCCTCGCATCTACAATAGGCAGGTAAAACTTAACTTTATTGCTGGTTGGGCCAAACAAGACTCTGGGCATCGGGATATCGTTAATGACCCGCATAGGAAAGGCGTCTAAATACAGCGTTCTCGGACACCCCTCTATCTATGCTAACGTCGGTAGCTCCGTGACTGCTTGTGCGAAGAGGGTTGGAACACCTAACCCTTTTTGCCACGCAATTACTCACTTCGCGTTCCTAACCTCAGTACACAGGAGGGGAAGGAGATATTGTGGCATCTCTGTTCCCTGTGTTCGGGCTGCCGATACCAGCCTTCTGTCTCGCGTGGTCTTATTGCCAGGTGTGACGATCCCCACGTCATGCCCGACTGACTTCTCTGAGTCATCCCTTGATATTCTTGAGCCTCTTGAGTTCTCTGGTGTTACCTCCGGGTGAGACGACATGCTCAGTCTTCGCTGTTTACCCAATCCTCTGCCCCTTGAGCGGTTGGGGGTGCTGGCCGCTTCCTGCTCCCCCAGTGTTCCGCCCACAGCTCCTCCTCCCCTCGGGGTTCCCCCTAGGGGGTTACCTGCTCCTGTGCCTGTTCCAATACCGGAGTTTCCCTGTAGATGCCCGTTCATGCCCAAGGTCCCCACCATTCCTGTTCCAACACCACCCTGGCATGGACCTGATGTAACTCCCAAACCTGTCACCTGATTACCTGGTGGTATCAACCCAGCAACTCCAACCTGTCCTGTTGGTGCCACGGATTGCCCTCCAAAACTTCCTGGTATGTACCCTGGCCCACCCCTGCCTGGGTTGCCAAAAACCTGACCCGCGACTGGCCAGAGGCCTGGGACATATCCATTTGCCAGATACCAATCTAGGGTCATGCCTGCAGCTTGAGTCCCTGCAGCTTGCGCCCAGTTCCCGGGAGCTATACCTTGCGTTGGGATGTTGTTAAGGTAAGGTCCTCCTACGCCGCTTCCACCTTGTGCTTGCAGCTGTCCCAACGCAGAGTTCCCCATATAACCGAGTTGTCCTCCTCCTCCTCCACCTCCCCCTCCTGGAGAGAAGGTAGGGTTATTCCTTAAGACCCCGCCTTGAAATTCACTCCCCTGCTGCCTCGACTGTGAGGATGTCGGCCTTAAGACTCCTTGATACGTCCCTTGAGACTGGCCTCCGCCTGTTTGACTTGCCGTTGGATGCTGTTGCCAGCTTGGCGCTTGATTTGCTGGGTTTGACGCCCTTTCCCCCAAACCCTGATTCCTGGATCTCGTTCCTCTTCTGCAGTCGTCCTCAGTGTGAAAGAATTGTCTGCACTTTCTGCATCTCAACGTATCCGTTGATGCTAGGCGTACCTCCAGCGTGTCCCCCTTGGAGGTTTCTATCCAGATAACGTCCTTCATGTTCGGCCTTGAGTCCGGATCGAGGTCAAATCTCGCGTTGACCAGCGCTGGTCTGGCTGGATCCGCATCCGCTGGATGTGCCAATATGATCTTGCCAATTGCTTTCTCAATTTGCGCATAGATGAACGGCATAGCATCCAATGGAATTTGGATCGCCGTTACCCAGAAAACCCTATCATCCTCTTGCCTCCTTAACTCCCTGAACTCTGCCCGGGTCATCCAGGGCTTAAATAAAATTTTATACGTTTCCGCACCCAAAGTCACTTCCACCTGGCCCTCCTCGATCATAAATCGCGCCACCTCGCTTGCCTTCGCCACATACGATGCCACCCCCGGTCCCTCAATCTTCACTCTTCCTCTTCTCATGTTTCCCCCCAGTCTCTCATTTCCTAACACCCAGCCATCCTCGAAAGCCCTAACCAGATCGTCCTTAATATTCTTTGGTAGAAATCTGGCCGCGTCTTTATAGATGACTGACACTGTACGCTCTTTCAACCATTTTACTTCAATTTCGTCGAGTGAGGTGTTCAACTTAAATCTCACCTCCCTCCTGTCTATCGTCATCTCTCCAGGGTCGATTTCCGTCGGATATACCCCTTCATCAAAACACATTTGAAGCAGCTCTCGGATTCTGTCCTCATCCTCCCAGTAGTCGATCTCTGCTTGCGGGGCAACGGGCGGAGACCTCCCTGAGCCTCCCCCTCCCACCCCCCCGGGTGTTGACTCCATCATCTGTTCATGCACGTACTCCTTGACTCGTCTTGTGTTAGAGTTGTCCTATCGTCTTCTCTTGATACTTCACGGACTTCCAGTTCATCAAGTCTTCGCGTCTTCCTACGTGGAGACGTCGCTTCCTCTGTCCGTCTTCCTGCACCTGTGGCTAGTATATCGCCATATTCGCCCTTCGAAGGGGGCGGTCGGTAGGTAGACTCCGGAGTGCTATCACGTCGGTAGCATCCCGGAAGACAGCTCGGGTTTTGCCGACCCGGTTCCGCTTGGCAGAGCGCACAGCGCCGGCCGAAGCAAGGTCGCACCTCTCTCCCTATGAGGAAAAGTTTGAGAGAAGAGTATAGTTTTTCAAGACAAAAAAAAAAAAAAAACGAGCTGACGCCGTCTTCACTCGAATAGAACGCCCGGTCAATTATGACTGTGTCCAGACTGTATGATATCCAAATACAGCTATAATGACCGGGCGTTCTATTTGAGTGAAGACGGGTAAGGGTGCTGATAAGAGCAGGCACCACTATCACGCCCCGGGAGGCTCCGTCTATTGGTGGGGAGCAGCACCTGCTGCAAAGCGGGTCCAGCCAAATTTGACCCCGAATCTTTAAATTCTTTTTTTTTTTTTTCTGTTTTTTTAAACGGATAATTTGCAAAATACCCATAAGTTGAGATATATGCCAAAATGCCCCTGAAAGATGTGGGTGGAGCGGAACGCCCTTTTGGGCCGAAGTCTTTGTGTAGTGCCCCTGTCAAGTGGGTGTGCAACTTTGCAATCGGGACCTCCCCGTTTGGGCCTTGGCCTTCTGCAATAGCGCCTAGGAAAAGTTGGCCAGTAGCCCGGGATGTTCTGCAAAGTTGGATGGTACCTGGTAGGGGTATATTGCAAAGATGGGGGTCCAACTAACGCCAGGGGTATTTCACAAAATTTTTTTTTTCTTAGAGGGGCATTCCGCTCTACCCGCATCTTCAGGGGCATTTTGGCATATATCTCAACTTATGGGGGTAGTTTGCAAATTATCCTTTTTTTTAAACAGAAATCAGCCCAAGCTGATGCTCCTTTTTTTTTTTTTTTTTTTTTTTGAAAAAAACTTCATAAGCGGGAAAACCCACTCAAAGAGGTGATAAAAGCACTTAGAGCAGCCCCGTTAAGTGGGTCCCGACGTTGACGGCTCCATCTATTGGTGGGGAGCTGCACCTGCTGATGCTAGGGGTGCTGATAAGAGCAGGCACCACTAGCACTCCCGGGGAGGCTCCATCTATTGGTGGGGACCAAGGGGGGGGGGAAGGAGGGGGGAAATCAATCAATCTGACAGGCTACTCCCTATTTATCCCCTCGCTGGTCAACTATTGGGCCCGGAGATCAATCGATCTGACAGCCTAGTAGCCTACTCCCTGTTTCTCACCTCACTGGTCAAATATCATGCCGGAGAATGGAGGTAAGCACTCCCCGCCCCTGCCAGGTGGCAAAACTCATATACCTCGTATGGCAAGACACCCAGTGCACCTCAATTCTAGTAAAGTAGTTGCGATGATGTGACGAACTATTTTCTGAAATTGCGTTGTCGAGCGCATCGGCCCCCGCGCGAGCGAAGGGCCTCCCGGCCGCGTCACGCAGGAGAAACTTAGGCTTTCAACCTTTTAGAGACAACTCGGGGATGACACGGTAACACGTGCCGACCCTTTGCCGCTCCGGCCGAGTGCGCCAGCTATACATCCCGTTGTTCCCTACGACAAGATAGGTTCCCGCGGGATGTATAGCTGGCGCACTCGGCCGGAGCGGCAAATGGTCGGCACGTGTTACCGTGTCATCCCCGAGTTGTCTCTAAAAGGTTGAAAGCCTAAGTTTCTCCTGCATGACGCGGCCGGGAGGGCCCTCGCTCGCGCGGGGGCCCATGCGCTCAACAGGTGGCGCCGTTGCCGGGGAGGATGTGCTCGACAGCACGACTTCCTGCGCGAAGCTGCTTGGGGAAACATGATGGGTCGAATGGGTGAGTTGTGGGAAGATGGGTCGGGCGGGCAAATTGCATAGATGTCCTCGTTTCTTTTCGTTTTCTGCTGGGAGTTGTCGGATCGATGTCTGAAAGATCCCGTGTCAACGGTTGGGTAGTCGCGCCTTGGCGAGCGTGAGAAATAATTGTACCATAGCTCTTTCTTGTTCTGCTGTAAGCACTGGGAATTTTGGCGCGATCATCGCGTGGGATCATCGTTTTTTTTTTTAATTTTCAAGTGATGACGAGCCCCCACGGGCTCGCGGAATTGTTTTTTTCTTCTGCTTTTTCATAATTTCCTTTTGCAATTAGGACTTACGCTAGGAATTTAGGTACTCTGAATTTTGTTGTGCCCCACTTGCGCGCATCTTGCCGCGCTGGGAACTGGGCTCTGACTGGGTCGCGCCCTTAATCTTGTGTAACTATCGTTTTTGGCGGGCTGTGACGAACCAATTTCTGTTCCGTGCAATTTTCTGCACGACGACAATGAGGGGTCCTAAGCTGGGAAGGTTGGGCCAATTATGGGAGATGGGATCCAACGGGAAAATTGCATCGGTGTCCTTGTTTGTTCTTCTTTTTACGTCACTTCTTTTCAGATGGTTGGGGCCAGGGCTGGGCAAGTCCCGGGATGGTCGAATGAGTGGCTAGCGGCGTGGCGCGCCGGCGGAGGCACGATTAATAATGGTTGACGTCGCTTCTTTCTTGTTCTACTGTCGGGTTTTCGGCGCGATAATCGCGCGGGAGTTTTGCTTCTTTCTTTTTGAATTTCTTTTTCAAATCTTATCGAGCACTCGATGACTCTCGAAATTTCGGACTTTCTTTTCGAGATTTGTGCTTTATTACAGTTCTTTTTGCATTTTTGCGCTAAATAGGAATTTAGGAATTCAAAATTTCTTTTGCCGCGTGGTGCCTTTTGCTCGCGCGCTTCTTTTTGCGGCTGCAACGGAACTCTAATTAGTCGGCGCCCTTAATCTTGCGTGTAACTGTAATTTTGGGTGGGGCGCCCTTGTAACAGTATCTTTCTTCTTGAGCTTCGTCTTTCCCGCTCTCTCTCTCTTCTTTGCTGTGTCTAGTTGGCCCGCGGGCTGCATGATCGGATCGATGCGTGGAGAGTGGCTACGACCCCCATGCCGTAATCTGGCCATGCAGAACGCAGGCACTCCCTCCCCTTCTCTCTCTTCTAAGTCCTTGCAATTTCGTGTTCGTCGTGCATGCATGCACGCTATAAATCTCGGCTGCGCGATTAGATAGCTCTCTTAACCAGTTGCTGGAAGCTCGGGGTAGCGCGATCAGTGACGGTCGGCTCACGAGCGAAGTAAGAGGTGAGTTGAAGTGGGGTGACAACTTCGTGGGTTGGTGCATGACGACTAACTGTCCGCATCGGAGAGAGAGAGAGAGAGAGAGAGAGAGAGAGAGAGAGAGAGAGAGAGAGAGAGAGAGAGAGAGAGAGAGAGAGAGAGAGAGAGAGAGAGAGAGAGAGAGAGAGAGAGAGAGAGAGAGAGAGAGAGAGAGCGAGAGAGAGAGAGAGTTGAGGTTGATGGACGTCGAGCTGTACCTTTTTTTATCTTTTTTTTTGCTTTGTATATAAGTTTTGATTTCGGCTCGGGTAATTCGCCCTTATTTTCCTTCGACATCCTTCCGTCGACGTTGGCTCTTGTATGGTGTCCTGCTCAGTCTCGATCCTTCCTCTCTTGTGTATATTGGATGGACGAGTTCTTATGGAATGATATGCTTGTCGTTTTTGCCTAATCATCGTCGTTGCTTGTCACTTTGATCTGTTGTCGTCACAATAAGAGCTTGATGTGGCTGCGGTGTCTGATGTGTGCGATGTCATTTTGTATGATCGGAAATGATTGTTTGTGGGATCACTGAATGATTAGATCGTTGGGTGATTGTCTCCGCCCCGTGACAATTTTGCATATAGGATAATAGGACTTAAACCCTCTTGCATGAGAATCGGGCGACGAACATGTGTGCGACCGAACACCTCGTGTGCGCACGTGTAAGCACGATCTAATAAGCGCGACCTACACGTGTCCACACGCGGCCGATTCGCGACCACTATCGGACTTGGCACCTTCGGTATCGAGATGATTGCGGACTTTTCCCTTTGCGAGAGTTTGTGCGCACGCGTGTAAAGCACTGTAAACCCGGCCGAAGGGGACGGGGCCTACACACGTGTCTGCAAGCCTACACGCGGGCTATGACAGCGTTCTTGCCGAAATGACAATATGTCGCGGGATCCGAAGTACCGAGAATATTGGAAAAAACAGCTCAGGCTGGGGGGGGAATTTGAGAAATCCGGAATTCCCCTGTCTAACCGAGAACGACCAACTGTGTGCCAGGGACTTTCACCACGCCATAACCAGCGACCGAACAACTCAAACTACGGGGAAACTTGAAAAACCCGGAATTCCCGTATCTGACAGAGAACGACCGACTGTGCGCGGGGGATTTCCACTGGGCTATAACCCGCGACCCTAGGGGCCCAGACTACCCAGATACGGACAATACTCAATACTACATATCCCCGGGCTTCGTCGTTATTACTACCAGCTTCCCCCCCTTCCATCTCCTCCTTCCATATCACCAGCTTACAATGGTACTGTGGAATTCCATAGCTCGCTATTGGCCCAGCCCACCGTGCGAGGATTGTCAGCGGTAACAGGCATGCCAAGCTTCGGGATTTAACCGCCGAACTCGAACCGAAGTTGAGCAGCGATTGCACAGCCTCCGCTTACGGCCCGCCCCATCGGATTCCGAAACTTGTTACGAGCGGCGCCGACAGCAGCACGACCGCCACGGGTTCCCATCAATCCACCAGACAAGGGACCGGCCGCGGCGACACCACTGGCAGAGGCCCTAGCCCCCTCCTTGAAGGCTGAGACGCCAGATACGATCCATGCGCACCATTTTGCACCACTGTCCCTAAAACTTGCCACAACAGATCTCAGTTCCGACCTGGGACTCCACCCCCCCACTTTCCTAAAATCCTTGGCACAGCCCTTTTTTTCGCACTTCCGGGCCCCCATCCCACTCCGATCAGGAAGTCGCGTTGGGCGTGAGGTTGGGCGTCACAATGACACCCTAGCAGGACAGGTCTCCCTAAT